AATATTCTCGTGGGCTTCTTCAGAATTCCTTCCTAGAATCAAAGCAAAACAGGGAAACCTAAACCTTAACCTGCTGAAGCGGCAGAGAGTTCCAGTTCTAGTAAAACCTGAATATACAAGTGCAGATTTACAGTATTTGGCAGTGCAGTAAAGCACATGAGAGTGGAGTGCTAACAGTAAGTCCAGAGGTTTGACGGAAGAAAAGAGCCAGCATGCCAGGAGAAGGGACTCAGTGGGAGGGATTTGCGGGCTGCGATGAGTCATAGCTTCTCCCCGGTTGGTTTTGATACCTGGCATCTGGAGATCATTGGCAACAGCTCCATAGAAACGAGCAGTTATGGAATTGTAAACAGACTGAGAGAGTGGAGAGATGAGCGGGAAGCTAACTTTCACTGTTTCTCCACAGTGGCCTCCAGAGCTCCAGCTGAGCAGTCAGCTCGCTGTGTGTATGCGTGCTAAGGCCATGCAGGGAGGCAAAATGACAGCACAGATGCAGAATATAGTATTGAACCTCGAGCTGCACTCAGCAATCAGTGGGGGTATTGTTTTTATTTATTTATTTCCTTTGTTTGTTTGTTTGTTTTTCATTTTTCTGCAAAATGTTCATTATTTTCTATTCTGTGTCAGCGAGACTGTGAAATCTGAACCTTTTTCTAGGTCTGCCTTGCTCAAGAGCAGAAGATAACTTTATCACAGGAAATGTACATTGTGTACTTTTTGATAGCAGTCTGAGTAGAACTCAGTGGCTTAACTTTTATAAACTCTCATTTGTTGCACAATCTGTACTTAGACAACTAGAGAACAATTCCCTGGGGAATAAGTTTTTTTTTATCACATTTATTTTCTTCCCCATGGGAACCCATAAATTATTTCAGTTCATGTCTCAACATCGCTTTGCTGGTCTCGAGTTCAGTGTGGATGTGTAAAAACACATGAAGTCATTTTTGCTTCAGGAAAACATTAAGCTCCACTACATGTCTGCTTGATGGTTCATCACTTCACTAGTTAGTTGGTTGAATAATATGAGACCATAATACTCTTAATAAAAATGTGTACGTTTAGCCAGTTGGGTTTCAGGGTCCAAGTATGCGTCCTGCTGCTTTGTTGTATCTAATTGGTGACAGTCATGCTTTTCCTGCCATGACGAATCAAACCGTGTGAGGAGAAAAGGGACTGCTAAGTTAAATAGCCTAGCAGCTGTGCAAGGCACTGAATATTTCAAACCCCCCCCCCACTCATCTCAGTGAGGGGAAACACAGGTGTTGTTACTTATTTTGGCTGATTTGACTTCTTCTTAGAACCAGATGAATAGGCTGGGTGTGATTAGCATATATTTAACTGCAACGTTCATTTTGGACATCTTTATATTTGTTAGTATGTGAGGTTTGGTGACACAGATGGTTGACATTGCCTTACATTGCATTTCAAGTATTAAATTAAAGAATTAAAGCCAGAATATGTGTGCAGGGCCTGTGCTACAAAGAGTATAACCCTAACCTACTAGCTACCCATTTTGATCATTTTTATCACACTGAGGAAATGATTATATCAGATTAAAGCTATTTTTTTAGCATCTCAGATTTAAAATGTGACAATATTTGGAATTCTATTAAGTAACAATAAAGTGTAAAGTAAGTTCAAAGTAAGCTTAATTTTCCATCCATTCACTTCTGCTTAAGATCTGTCATCCTTCTGTAGTATGGGATTAAAAAACCACAGCGCATGTTTTCTGATTTATGCCATAAATGGCATTTTATATGTAACTATACACTACAACACAAATTTCAGTGAACACCAGGGGGATTTATTTAATTGATGTGGAAGTGTACACGTCACCTATAGCCCCCAGCTGAAGTACATACCTTCTTCAGACGATATGACATGTTGTCCCAGACAGTCCACAGTCGCTGATTTTTATCACTGGTTTAACAACAGAACACGTCATTCCTCTGTGATAACTCAGTCAGCATCAACATTGTGGACATTGTGTTCAGTGGAGTAGTTTTCTCAGGAACTAGTCTCATTTACCAGTGTACTACTTCAAATTAACATACTGTAAAGGTGGTGGCTGTGGCTCAGGAAACAGAACAGGTTTTCTACTAATTGGAAGGATGGTGGTTATATTTGTTAGTATGTGAGGTTTGGTGACACAGATGGTTGACATTGCCTTACATTGGTACACAGACTGGTTGTTCCAGTCTGTGTACCAAAGTATCCATGGACATGATACTGAAACTCAAGTATTCACTGGAGTAGTGAATGGGAAAGCACTTCCACATAGCAAAAAAGTGCTTAGTTGACATGGTGTATAAGCGTTATATAAGAACCAGTCCATTTCCCACAATAGGGAATAAAAAAGAATAATAAATAAGAACTATTTCCTGTTCAGTCGGATTATATTGTAATACATTTTATAAAAAGAGGATAAAACAGTTTGTTTAAGCAACACTAATGATGAATATGTTTCATTACATTATTTGTTCGTTTTAAGTTCCTCTTTATTGCACAAGATTTTTTTTTTTTTTTAAAGAAATGTTGTCTTCCTACTATCTGTTTTTTTAGCATTTTGTGTCAACTGTATAACAGGTTTGAATACAACTACAGACGACATACGGGTACTTCCTGTGAAAAAAAAAAGTTAATGTGGGAGCTGTAATGGTTTCAGATTGGTGCTTCAGACACAGCAGTTGCCTGGGGGTGTTGCCACTATGACAAATTTACGACTGTGTAAGAGCTTCAGAGCTCGTTCTCTAGAATCACATGACCATCACTACCAGAGAATTTCTCCCGAGCAGCACGCCAAGCCAGCGTGCTTTTAATAGGACTCTACAGAAGGTCAGGCTGGTTTCAGCTGCCATTCAAGACTGAAATATGCCACGGTCTTTTTAGACAGAAATACATTTTAATGTGTTAACTGCAGTTGTAATTATCAGACAATCAATGGCACATACCAACATGGACCACGGGTTTACTTTGGAAATTATTGTCTCATTTCTTTTTTGCTAAACATATTCGTGGTGATGGCAAAGGTTATGTTCCACACTCTGTATTAACTGTGCTAAAATGAATAAAACCAGAAAATTCAAATATAACATCTACAAACATTCCTTTTGACTGTTTTTGAATATTTGAAGGATTAAAGCCGGTTTCTGAATATTTTACACGTTCCCAGTCTAGTCATGCAGTTTTCTCCGAGATATTAAATTGCATTTCTAAGCAGTGGATGAACAGTGACATGATATCACATCAGTATTATTATTAAAAGTAGTAGTAGTATTAAGAGAAAAACTAAAACAGGGTTCTGTACATATACCACAGAGCACACATCACCTCAGTCACCCTTCATCTCTCTGACATCTCTGCACTCAGCTCCAGAGGCAGCGAGAAAACAGCAAAGTGCTGTTGAAGCAAGCAAAGTAGGAGCTGTAATTATGCTGCACATTGAGGTTATTGCACATTCCTGGTCATTTATCAAGTAGCTGGCTGCAATTGTGTATGTGTTCCTTGCTGTAGTCGCTCTTGATATTATGTAGCAGTATATACTGTAAGAGATGGTGCGGCCGTTTTTTCGTGTGGGTGGAAAAAAGCATCTTTTATCTTGCAATACATTCAAATATTTTTTTCATAAACATTTATCCAAGCGGGGATGCGATGGGCCTCAACCCTATCCTGGCTGCAAGGTTCCCCGGTGCAGGACCCGGGTCACAAAGAGAACACAAAGAGAGGGGTAGACGACAACTGATGAATCCGAATCATCTGATGGGGATATATTTAAGTCTCACTTCCTCAATGTTGATGTTCCTACTGACTTTGTATGTGTGTTTTTTCCCCCTTCTGATCTGATTAACTATGCATAAAAAAATAGAGGTAGCAAAATACAGAACTGATCATAAATCATTGTTAATAATGCCAGGAAGGAAATAGATATGACTGTTGGTTACATAGCAGCAATGCTTGTGTTTAGGCCCATTTAAATCCTTTGTCAGCCGAGACAGCCTTCCTTTCCAAAGGAAAGATGGCCCCGGAGCTCAGGATGTGTTGCGCTCATAAATAACCAGCGCAAACAGAACTGCACAAGAAAGTCGATCTAATCTCTCGTGTTTGGGAGAATGGCTCACATCTTTCCTGTTTTGTTTTCAATCCTGCAGCCCTGTAGTACGGCTTGCTGACGCAAAACTGTTGTCTTAGAGCAGAAACGTTTCAGACACGCCGTGGTAAAACTTAAGAACTGACTGTTCTTAAGCGGGCTAGCGGCTTTCCACATTATTTCACGACTGACATCATATGAAACAGTGAATACGTCACCTCTCTGAATTTCTCTGTACTAAACTAAACCTCGCGTGTTGACTTATTTATACATTTGTGCGCAGGGTGTTGAGCATTTCTGAGAACCAGACAGAGAACACGAACACTCATCAGATCCATTCGTGTTATAAGCAGACTGCGGCATCATTATGTCTGTGCATGTGCGAGCGTGTTAAGTCACACCAACACCTACAAAGAATCCAGTGAGTCACGCAAGAATAAAGGACGCAGTCTGTACTTCTCTAGAAGACTAGATTGTTATACAGTTCTGGAGTATTTTGTGTGTGACAGCTTCTCAGTTAGAGGAAGAAATACTCTTAGGAAATAACACTCAGAAATAACTTTTTTGTTTGAAGTTCAAACCAAGCATGCTGTCTTCTGGGGAAGCTAATCTTTTAAAAGAGAAAGTATAACGCCTTTTATATCTTTGTGTTTAATACATCAAAAAAGAAAAGAAAAAAAATAGCGTCAGATATAGAGCTGTGGTTTCCCATCTCGGTTAAAGGTGGCGCTTGGTAAACTCTAAGTGGAAATCATGAGTAGAAATCTTGTGACCTGAATTATGTGGCAAGAAAACTAAACTACATGTGTATGTAACCCTAAGTTAAAGATCCAGGCGTGTCATGTCAGCTTTGTGTCCACCACAATTCCCCATCCACACACAGGCAAAGTAAAATAAAACAATGAGATGTCAGTTTTTAGAAAAAATATCACTCTTTATTATAAATTAGTGAAACGTTTGTACACATATAAATAAGTGCAAAGTTGTATCAGTCTGCTTGCTTCGTCAAACTTCTCAATTATCTTCAAGCATCCCCAGCAAGTGGTTGGGCTGGCAAAAATACATCTTTATGAAAGACGGCGCATACAAGCGCACACACACAAAAAAGATCAACCATTTCATTTTAGCTCATGGTTTTAAGGAAAATGATGTTGACATTCATTTGAATGCAGTAATGATCCTGCCTGTGCCACAAATACTAAGACACCGTTCAGCCAATAAAAGGGTGTCTTTGTATTTGCTTAACTTGGCAGTGGTGCTCCTTTCTCAAGTAAAATCTCTGAGGATTCAGTCTTGTTGACCTTCCAACAAACTGTGGTCTTGTTCTGGCAAAATTTGGCGTAAACATGTTCTCTAAATCAAAAATATAAATGTCCACATTTTCCATTCTTTATACATCCCACACAAGCTGTTGCACAAATAAACCCAGAAAACCAATCAGTGTCCATTTATTTGTACTCTGGCTTTTTCCATTTATCGTCTGTGGATTTCCAGCGAACACTAGACCAGAAATCCCAGGATGCTAACACATCCAAGATTCTCATCCAGTAACAAAGCCAGTCCAGCTGTAATTGGTGGATCATTTTCTAAGGCTGATGTGTGAGCTAAACAGCCTCACAGTACACTGGTTAGCAGCAGCAGCGGTGGCAGAGGGAACCTATGTGTCACTGCACTGTAGACAGCTGGCTGTGAACCTCACTTCGGTTTTTACTAAGTTTCACGTCATCGGTGAGGCAGACGAAGATAGCGGTGTTATCTCTCTTTCGTGCCACCAGATCACAGCAGTGCTCTCGTTCTCTTGGCCCTCTTTGTGGATTGGTCCTCAATCCAGTGTCTTTTTAAATGTCTTTTTTGAGAACAACACACATCTTGTCAGTACACATGTGGTCCCCCTTCACAAGCTCAGTCCTGGGCTCGATTCTGTCGACTCTACTGCTTCATTACTCCTCAAATGCAGCTCCCGACTGTGTATAGGTGCTCTGAAACCAACCAGGTTTTTTCCATTACACTCTTAACACAGGGATCAGTCAAATGCCACTAGATAGGAGCGTCATACTCCTGGAGGAAGTCCTTCAAATTATGAGGAAGTTGGTCTCTTTTGGAAGAAATGTTCAAATGTCCATTGACGGTTTTCCTGCACAGGTGCTGCAAAGTGGACATGCAGCAGGAGAGAGGTCGGATGAGCTCCAGAGGGATCTTCTGCCCACTGCAGTAAATGTAGTAGATATTCCCACTTTGAATGTTCCCTTTATTCTGAGCCATGTAGAAATGAACCAGCTTGAGAACGCAGTCAAAGTGGGGAACAGACTGAACGTTCTTAGGGTCAGTTTGCAGGTAAAAAGAGTTTGAATCATATTGGATGCGAAGGTTCTTGGTGCCTGAGGCCGTTTTGACACTGAGGGTGAAAAGGTGTCGGTGGTCAGCGCTGTCACGGATCAGAAACGTGCCCACTTTCTCGGACGCCAGCATGGCATTGGCCTCCTTGCCGGTGATGGTGCTCCAGTAGAAGCCACTCTCCTGGAGCTTTTGAAAAGTGGACAGGACCATCTGATACTGAGTTTTCGAGGTGAAAGTTTTGTAATGGTAAGACAGCCGCATTTTGGAGTCCAAGGGGCTGCTACTCATCGCGGAGTCAAACTTGCTGTGAGTTACCATGGCGCTATGCCCGCTTTCTTGGCAGCTTGAGGAGCACCAGGTGCCGCACAGACGAGAGAAGGGGTGAGGTGGAGAGGGTTGTTTGAGTAGGCAAGAAGCGGTCTGTTTTCAGCCTTTGCCTGAATGAAACACCTGAAGTAAAGAAAGAAGAGGCTTGGGTTAAAACTCAGTTTTGATCACACAGACATTAAAATTCTGATTTAAACTTTAACTACAAATTCAACTTGAATACTCTTAAAACTCCCAGAGGCACTACTGGAAACTTTTTTTTCCTTCCATAACTGTATGTCATGTTTAAAACTTTGGGGCTACCCAGCCTTACTCTGCTCTCCCTGTTTGACTAATATCCTTCAGCTAACTTCCAGCCGTTTCGGGGAAACTTTGTGTATGAGTGTGTATGTGCGTATGTGTGTGTAATCTGCCCTCGGGATTGAGGCACCACGGTCAGTTCCAGTAAAAACAGCATAATATTCATTGCGCAATTTACATGCCACGGTCGGCTTCTCTAAACTGTTTGCCTCAGTTAGTTAAACACCCTTGACATGAATTATACATTCTGGTTATATAATAAGGATTTTATGCTGCAGAGAGAGAGTGCAAAAATGAGAAAAGAGACTGGTCCGTACCTGTGATGTTTCTCCAAAGTCGCTCTTTTAAGTTAAATCCAAATGCTTGCTCAGATTGTGAGTTGTCCTGCCTCCTTTTGGGTGCTTGAGAAAAAACTTCAAAGTTTTTTTTTTTGTCTTGCCTTTTCTTTTTGGCAGGTTAGTAAAGAGCCTTCTCTGTGCGTAACAAGCTGAATGCGCCTCTCAGAGAGCAGTGAACCTTTTTATACAGACGAGGCTGAGTCTTCAGACCCCGCCCCTTCACTTCCAGTAAAGCTGCTCTCCTGGCAGATTGACAGGAAGCGTGTGTTTATTTTTTTTAAAGGATTCCTGCTATGAGAAGCGCACTGCCCCCCTCCCCCCGCTGCTGTTCCTCCAAATGAAGTTAGTGAGGAGTTCCAAGCAGTCCTCCTGCACCTCTGTGTCTTTGTTCACACAAAACTTTTTAACTTCATTGTAGATTTCGAGCCTCGATGCTTATTGACGCCGACCATAAATCTATATTTGGCTATGTAGACATTTTTTTCCTATTAAAAGTTCCTCTTCCTCTTTTAGTGATTAGCGTGAGGTAATGATTCAGCTGCGATGCTTTGTGCAATCGGTTTCTGAGAAATTCATAGTAACAGAGGGTTGAATGCTCATCGCTGCCTTCCCATAGAGGGCGACAGATTTTGGGAAACTTGATTTCATTTCTCAACCGGCAACAGCTGGTTTCCAAGGGCAGCGGGTTATTGTTTACTTCTTGTCGTCAGATGGTTTAACAGTTTTCCCGTTTGCGTTTGTGCACTATTAATGAGCGCCCTGAGATATTTGAGCGCTCTCTTATAAACCTTGATATGCTTTAATGTGACGCGGTGATCATTTGTAAGGTATTTATTATGTCTTGAAGCTACACCTGCATAGTTTGTATAATATTGGACATCAAATAGAGCAGTTTAAGTCCTATGTTAAGCTCTTTATACACGTATTAATACCAGTTTCCATTTTGCTTCTCTACAGAGACTGTGCTGCTGTTTTTCAGCTGAAAAGGTGCCTTTGCAATTGTTTATTTGCCCCCTTTTTGGTGGGTACACATGAATAAAAACGGGTGTAAAGGCAGATTATAAAATAAATGTTTAAAATATGTTTTTAGAGACACTTTGAATGGGTGTTATAAGCCAGTTTGTAGAACTTAAACAAGGACTTTTTTTTTTAATTCATCAGAAGTCAGTTGTTCAGTTGTGGAAATGCCTATCTTTGGTAAATTGTGACTGATAGAGTGCTCACACTGTCCACCTCATCTTGTTCCCTGTTGACTCAGCTATGACCATCAGCTTCAGCTGGTTGTTCTGCTGTAGATTAACCCCAGGCTGTTTTTTCATGTCAGGATCTGTATACAGCTTACTCATTAATGCTGAGATCTATTAGGCAGGGCCATGGAATCGTACAGGAATTTGACATTTCTCAACACAAACTGGAATCCATAGAAATAAAGAGAAAAAAACCCCAAAATTTTCTCTGGTTTTTTTTAACAAACTTCAGGACAAGAGGGGGAGCTTGAGGGAAATAGAGTGACGCCAGAGTGCCTGATGGCCTTTGTTAAAGACCAGCTGTGTCCACAGAGGTGAGTCAGGTGCTGTCTAATACAGGCAAGCAGGATGGGAGAGGATCACTAGGATAGCCCTGTAACAGCGTGCTTGTTTCCAGAAAAACTATGGTGTCATCAATGTAAAGTATTAATTTGGTATTCAAAGGCTCCCCAGGGTCCATACTAGGAATGACTGGAACAAAAATGAACTAGTAAGCTGACTGAAGCTGGGAAAAGAACCTGCCTTCCCAGTGCTCAACAGGAACAATTATGCACACTATTATGGGATGCTGACTTGGCTGTTTAATGTGTGTACTGTAATTTTACAGGTCGATTACAATAAACTGAGGCTGTGCATACATTTGTCAGTCAAGGTGGCAGGCGAACCAAGTGACCTGTAGCTGAGGCAGCTTTCTTCCCTGTTGCTGTAGCACACTGTGGGACTCCGGTTAAACATCTGTGGCTGGAAGGTTTGGCAATGACACATTTGGTTTTTTAGGCTAAGTGTGTGTGTGCATGTGTGTGTGCCATTCCCTGGCGTATATTTATAGTAGTCTTAGCGAATGAAAATACTACACCAAAAATGAGCATTTGTTCATATTTAAAGGTTCAAATGCATGAGCGCTGTCTACTGACAAACAAATACATCGACAACAACCAAATTTTCTGTGTAGTTCTTCTTAGAATTAGTTCTAAGTGGATTAGACAAGGCATCACATGGCAGCGGATGCTAGCTTTTAGCTATAAACCACTGGTTAGGGAGAAAAAAAGAGACAGCTGTTTAGGTTTTCCCAGACTGACTCGGAAATTTACCCTAGCTCGTGGTTCCCGTAAACCCACTGGGTATGAGGGCAAAATAGCAGACCTATCAACTGGAAAGGGCGGCGAAAAGCAAAAAAATATTATTCAACAAAATATTTTGGAGCTGCTTTTCTTTTTTTCTTTTTGTGTTTGCACAGCTGAATGCACTGATCCTGAATTCCAGTTGAGTCAACAATACTGGTAACAGCGTTTTTCTTTTGTTTTTTTCCTTTTAAAATCCTATTATGCACAGAAGAGCCAGAATAAAATCGTTATTTCCTAATGCGCTAACTTACACAGACATTGTATTTCACGAAAGGAAGGACTGTAAAAGGAAATCTCAAAAGTTCCCGTAGAACTGCTAGACACTGATGAACTAAGATAATCTGGTAGATTCCTGGTATGCCTGTCAGTCTAAAATGTGCTAGTCTTTATGATGAATGAACAATGGCACTTTGTGTCTCTACCTGCCTATTTCCCCTGTTTCTATTTGTCCACTTACCGCCATTTGGAACTAAATTACTGTAAAACTTCCTTTTTTTGATTGGGCAGGGCAACTTCTGTGTTATTACCAATCATTCAGTAATGATTTCCTGGTAACTTTTTCAGTGTCTTTCTTACACTGTCGCTATCAATGTCGGTCTTTGTGCTTCTGTAAATTATGGGAAGTCTTATGCATGACCACCGCAGCTGAGAATGCCACAAAAACCCAGATGGCAACACTGTTTTTCACAAGCTACTCTTCTGCTTCTTCTTTTTCTTCTTCTTCTTCTTCTTCTTCTTCAAATTTATATGTCCTTGTATATGTTGATGAAAACATATCCATGTATTTTGTGTTTACTGTAACCATTGTGGAGTTGTCTTTCACGACATACGAGGTTAGTCCGGGAAACACTTGGGAATATTCTGTTCATGCACACTACGAATACCATTCATCACTCTGATTGCGCAACTCTTCTGTTGCAGATGTGTTCCTGTATTTTGACAGAGACGAGTGCTTTCTTATTAATATTTACTCTTTCCTATTAATGAGAACTGACGACACTACATGAGAAGTAAAAGGTTTTTTTTCAGGAAAAAGAAAGAAATTCAAAATAAAATTCCAAAACCGAAAACACACTCTCCATTCAAAGCTCACAGACAATCAGACTGTGCAGATTTTTTTCTCTTTTATTGAATATGCATACTGCCACATAGTTGACTGTATTTCTCTGTGCACGTGTGATTAAACATGCAGGTTTTTTTTTTTATAAATAGTTGATTCCCACTTGATGATCTGCAAAGTTGTGAAAGCTGGCACTGACATTGGGTGTCACGTTTTGGCACAGGCAGCATTCCTCGCTTAGTATCACATGGTGTCTATTTATGAATGTCATAGCTGCCTTCTGGGAAGGGCTAAAAGCAGAACGTAGCGCTATTAATTTACTCTTCACACTAAAACTATCATTGCAATGTTTGACAGCACTACCATGGGAGATAAACACAACTCTTTAATCATGTTATGCACCCAGTGCATAGATTATTATCTCTGGACAAAGTGTTAATGTTAGGCTTATTAAATTGCTGGGAAAGCTTCATGAATAAATTATTTTCGATTAACGACTGCAAGCAAACGACCAGCAAACTTATCCAGTCCAAGCAGTGTTGCAATATTTACATTACAACACACTATGGTCCATTTCTGTATAAATGCCAATTATTCTTCTTCCTTCTAGATGAGGAAGTGGAAGTGGAATATACTTGCATTTGCATGTTCACTGTTGGCCTTGAGATCATTTTTCCAGATGCGGGTTTGTTTTCATATTTGCCATCATCATGAGACAAAGGGAGGAGTGCTGTTTTGATCAGTTCAATCTGAAATATGCAAATAGTCATTTTAGAAAATTTCCAGTAAGGATGGAGCTCCTACAAGATTCCTGACATCTTTAAATCATATAAGTCATACAAATCTTAGACCCCCTGGGATTAGTGGCTTTTTCTGACACTGACGTGCATAATAAGCGAAAATTGATTCAGGAAGAGTTGGCTCTGCGATTGTGTGATTCATTCACTCTGATTACTGTCAAAATTAAGGAGGAAAAGAAAAGAAAAGGAACAAATGGCATCAAGAGTTGTCGCCTAGATCCACATAATTTTCCACAGAAAGTGGCTTCGGGTTGGATGTTTTTTGTTGGTACAAGTGAAGCTTTCTCACAACTGATCCATACCAGTACATCCCATTCTTCACTTCAAACAATAACAGGCCAAACATGCCGAATCTAATGCAACTAAAGTGCATTTATTGTTAAAGAATAGTTTCAATATTTTGGGAAATATCCTTATTTATTTCTGGCCAGGACTTAGTTTGAGTAGCAGGCCCTGAATATGCGGCTACATAATGAAATTCCTGGCTCTGTCCAAAAGTAACAAACTCTGTGTACCAATGCCTGTAAAGTTCACTAATGAACCCATTCTATTTTGTTTGCTTAATCCATCTAAAAACCAGAGTGTAACAAGAGCACTTTTCTTTTTAGTGGCCTAAAAGTCTGGCACACAACCACACCATGAAATGAAAAATTTGGGTTTTTAGATATCAGTTTTTGTCATTATGTTAAGTCAGGCGGTGGCAACATATTGAGTCGTATAAATCATCCAGCTCTCAGCTGCGGGAGAATATCTGTGTTTTCCACTGATTTCATTCAGATAACTTAATGCATGAGTGATGCACAGCTAATACACAACCTGAAAAGAAAAAAACAAAACAAAAACATCACATTGGGTTTCACAATCTGCACCTCCTTGATCACTGCATAAGTATGTTAGGGCATACAACCGTGCACAGACCATGAGCTGTCTCTGAAGAATGCACAC